AAAAACTATCAAAAGATGATTGTGTGAGGGGTGGATGAAGGTCTGGGGTCAAACCGTTATAGAGATTCTCATAGTATGAGCCAAAAAGGAAGACCATGACATGGGGATCATAGGTAGGGCTTCCATTCAGTTGGATTAGATGATCCGGCATCGTTGAGGGAGATTGTGCTTTGAGTCGATTGACTAGCATATGATGAGGTTTATTAGAAGATTCGTAAAATTTCTGCTTGACCCAAAGGAGGGATTGAGATGTCACCTTATGGAGCTCCAAAATGGACGGTTTAGCTAATAGATGTCGTTCAGCCAAAGACAGTTGGTGAATAAGACAAGCCTTGGCACTCACCGAGGACTTTTTGTAAACGGGAACCCTCGAAATACCACCTTATGGGCCTTCCACAGGGTCGAGGTAGAAGCTACAGACCCAACATTGTGACTAAAATACATCAAGTCCCTGAGAAAGTTCGTCCCGATGTTTCGTGGATAGAAAGGTCTCATTGAGGCACCAGTGACATGTTTTCGGCATAACAATAGGGAAGAAAAGGTTCAAAGTTAAAGAGGTGTGATCAGACCATGTTATTTCAGAGGCGACCAGGAGAGGAAGCAGTGGTGCGGAGATAAAGAAATGATCCAGGCGGGAGAAACTACGATGAGGGGTGGAGTACAAAGTAAATTGTTTATGGAGAGGGTGTCTAATCTGCCAAGCATCAAAGAGACGATGCTCCCTTATCAGTCTGCGAAAGGATTTTGAAGAGGAGCATTGCCACTTCGAGGTGTGGACTCAAAAAGAACTTTCTTGTCTTTTGAGGGAAAAAAATTAAATTAAAATCGCCCCCAACAATCACATGTGGAGTGGAAATGGAGCCTAAGTTGGCAAGTGTTTGGGAAAGGAATTGCAATTGACCAGTATTCGGGGCATATAAATTCAACAAAACAAGGGGATCGTTACCATTTGGAATACATTCCAAAATAATGAAACAACCTCGTTGGTCGACTTTGGAGGAAACAACCCGAAGGGAGCAGTGTGTCCTAATCAAAATTGGCACCGCAGCCTTCCCAGAGGGATCAAAGGCCAAGTAAGCTTGGGAAAAAAATCTTGAGGCAAAACAAAAGGAGCCAGTTGATTTGAAATGGGTCTCCTGGACAAAGATGTCTGCTCCTGAGGATCCAAATTCATTTAAAGCCATCCACCCTTTTTGAACGGAGTTGAGGCCCTTGACATTATGACAAAAACCTCAAAGCCATCATAAAATAATAATGGATGAATCGTGTGCCAGCAGGAAAAATAAATGAAATACCATCGATGGAACAGAAAAGAAAACAGAACATTAAAATAACACAAAAAAGAGAAATTACAGTGGGAGACATACTGTATTTTTTTGCTCCATAAGACGCACCTAGGTTTTAGAGGCAAAAAACAAGAAAAAAAATATTCTGAACCAATGGACTGCGGACGCAGTACAGGGGATGATCAAGAGACTGCAGACGCAGTACAGGGGATGACCAAGAGACTGCGGTTGGTACAGAAGATGACCAGAGACTGCTGACCTTTTGGGGAGGGAGGGGGAGCGGGTACCTGAATTCGACAGGTACCTTCTTCCGTGGAGTTGTCCTCCCTTTAGTGTGGCACCCGGCTGACAGCCGGGTGCCCAGTGCGCGTGTGCGAGAAGCGCTGCGCTTTTGATTGGTCCAGTGTCTTCTGGGACCTGTCGTGTCCCAGAAGATGCTGTACCATTCACAAAGTGCAGCACTTCTCGCGCATGCGCACTGGGCACCCAGCTGTCACAGCCGAGAGCCCACACTAAAGAAGCCGGCGCGGGAAGACTGTGCAGCGCTGGACCGAGGAACAGGTAAGGTCCTGCTGCACAGAAGAGCTGAGCGGCCGGCCCGGTATTCTGACGCGGCGGTAGAAATACAGGACCGGCCGCTCCGTATTTGCTCCATAAGATGCACTGACTCACCCCCCCCCTTTTTTGGGTGGGAAAAAGTGCGTCTTATGGAGCGAAAAATACGGTAGATATCCGTAAGGATAAATACTTGGTAACAACAACTAGACCCAAGTCATCTAGGTCAATTGCCAGACGAAATTGGGGGCAACATGACATCCGAAACATCAGGAAGGTCGTCAAACCCGGCCAGAAAAAAAATGCACCCAACAAGGGCTCTGCCGGCCAAAAAAACCCGTGTAGAAACTTGTAAAGATCAGGGGGGAAGGATCATTGCTGGATTCACCACAGGTCACCCCAGAGAAACCTCAGGTAGCTGGATCGCTTGATCGAGGAGGACATGGACGTTCTGGGGTATGCGAGAGTCTCTTCCGACCCCCGCAAACTGGTGTCCAGATCTTGTTGGGGGTGGCGGAAAGGCGAGATGGGGTAGGCGGCAATGAGGGCACATCATCCGACAAAGGTGGAAGTCCCAGCTGCTTTAGGAAAGAGTCTGCCACATGAAGATCACAAAGAACTACTTGGGTGTTTGTCTTTAGAGACTACCAGCTTGAAGGGAAACCCCCAGCGAAAATGGACCCGGTGTTACTGAAGGTGTGTGGTGATCAGCTTCTGTGCTCGCCGTTTGACCAGGGTAATCGGGGAAAGATCGCAGAAGAGCTGGAGTCTGTCCCCTTTAAATTCCAAGGAAGATTTGTGGCGAACTGCAGATAATAAGGCTTCTTTGCTTTGAAAGAAATTGAAGCGGACTATGACGTTGCGTGGTCTGGTGCCTTCAGTAGGTTTCAGGCCCAGAGAGCGCTATCCATTCGCCACTCTGCTTCTGGAACCATGGGAGCTGTTGCGATGGACAGTAGGTGATGGTGTAATTGTGAGTCAGCAATAGATTCGGACATACCGCGAATACAGATATTTTGGCGCTGTTCCGTTTTCCAGGTCTTCTTGTTGGAGATGGAGTGCTTCAGATATGCGTTTTCTTCCTCCAAAACATGAACGTATTGCACCAATTCATCAAACTTATTTTCCAGTTGATCCTTGCGGTCTCCAATCTGGGATATTTCCCCCTCTGAGATCCAAGGATGGAGGCGGTAGCATTGCGTAAAAATATTTGCGATTTATCGTCCAGCGCAGAAATTGTGAGAGAAGATGAAGCCTGCTGGGAAGTCTGGGTAAAAGATGAATGATTCCCAGGTAAAGGGTGGTCCATTGCAACTCCTGTCGTAGCCTAGGGGTCAGATTCCTCCATTTGGGAGTGAAGTAGGGCAGAGGTTGTCTGCTGTCCTGCAGTGAGGAAGGCTGCAGTACCCTCTGTGGCCGCTGGGGGTCCGGGATTGCTCCTCCAGACTTCTGGTGTTGCTAGAGGCTGGGGATTGCGGCCTAGAGAGAAACCGCCAGAGTAATGAGGGCCCTGGGTCTAGTGGCGGTGGGAAGGGGGGCTTCCAGCACCCTATCTTCCCCATGAAAGCTTCCTCCTGGTGCCGGGCCGGGTGCGGAGTTGATGTAACTTACCCGGAGCGAGGTATAGGCAGTGTGGCGGGTGGGTCAGTAATGGCCGGGGGTGAGCGGAGCTCGGTGACTGTCCGCCATCATCCCTGGTCATGCATGCGCCCCCTTGTTGGAAATTTTTTAAAAAACTAATGAATTTCGAATCGATGGGAGAAGCGTGTGGGAAATATAAACTAAAAAGAAATGAGCTGACCTAGAAAGAAAAGAAAATTCTTAGCCACGAAAATTCTTTTCTGTAGCAAAAGAGGTGAAATTGAAGACTTGGTTGGTCGAATTTCGTAATCAATGGTGGCACCATCTGGTTACAAAACGCACAAAGTTTCCGATTTTCTAAAGAAAATTTGTTCGGAATTTGACCCGTGTATGGCCTGCATAAGAGTCTGCAGGAGCCTGACATTGCACACGCAATCCGCTGATAAAAAGAAAAAAGATAAATGCTCATTATTTTTTTTTTTTCAAAGGTGAACCTATCCTTTTAAAGCTTTGAAAATAAAGCCTTGAAGCTGATTGGTTTCTATGCAGAGCTGCACCAGAGTTTTCACGTTCCAGTTTTATTAAATCTCCTCCTCAGTACTTCTTATTTATTCACAAGAGAGAAACAAACACTGATTGCAATACTTCTGAAAGCTATCAAGAGCTTATCAACTTAACTTGCAGTAATGGGCTAGGGCTAAGTCTTGCAAGGGAGTGTTTATTACTTTTAAAATTTTTCTTTTTGGTTCTTTTGTTGCTAAGAAGTAAATTATTATAACTGTGTTGCAGTAATTGAATGGTTGACTTTTTGCAATGTCACAATGTCTGGCTTCAGTAGCTACAGATTGCAGTTGATTTACTAAAGGTAAATATATTGTGCACTTGAAGTGCAGTTGCTTTAGATCCGAGGGGAAGCTCTGAAATGAGGCGTAGCTCTGCTGATTTCTTTCATCCAATCATGTGCAAGCAAAAATTCTGTGTTTTTTTTTTTTTTTTTTTTGTTTTTTTTTTTTTTTTTTTTTTTTTGTTTTTTTTTTTTTTTGTTTTCCTTGCATGTTCCCCTCAGATCTAGAGCAACTGCACTTGGAGTGCACTTGCAGAGCACAGCCTATTTGCCTTTAAGTCAACCCAAATCTGTCCAATGCAGCTCCTGACAAATTTAGCACACCATTGATTGATTTGTAGCCAGCTATTCAAAAACAGAATTGACTTAAGCTTACTTTCAAAAATTACATACTGTATACCACAACAAGCTTTAGGATGAGAGTTTGTAGTAACATGCTCGCACAGCAGGAAATGAGTGAGGGTGTTGAAGTCCATGACTTTGCAGTGACCTTGCTGACCAGTTCTTAGCCTCATCTCTTCAAACACAAAAGCAGTGTTATAAGTGACCACTGGATATAACGTTTTGAAACCTGCACTGTACAGATAAGTTCTTCTTTGCCTGAAAACTAGTCATTTTAAAATGGTTAGCATCTATCTACATTAATGTGTTTTGGGGTCCAAGAAATGATTTTCACTTCTTACCTTTTTTATAACTATTTTTGTTTTTAATAATGTGAATCTTGTCCAATACAGACATTATCAGTAACCCAGATTAAGAAACTTCGAGTCATGATAGATGAGAAAATTGCAGAAACTGACGCAGAACGTTTGCGTTTAGAGACTGAGAGGTTTGAAAGTCTTCGAGAAATCGGAAACCTGCTGCACCCAACTGTACCAATCAGTAATGATGAGGTATACACTTTTTTTGTTTTCACTCTGTTTTCTGTTTTTAGTCATTTACCTACTTGCCGTCTGAAATAATTACCCCCCCCCCCCCCTTCCTGACCAGGCCATTTTTTGCAATATGGCGCTGTTACTTTAACTGACAATTGTTTAGTTGTGCAATGCTGAACAGAAGTGAAATTTTGTGTTTTTATTTTGGTTTTTTTTTTTTTTTTTTCCCCGCACCTTTTAGAACAGCACCTGGAGAGCGCAGCTTCACCCATAGTCACAGGGAATGCTGCAATTAAAAGTCTGCCTCATCCACCATGCCCTCAGTTATGGTGTTTCCTCTGCCATGGTGGAAGCACTACAGAAACCTGGGTTATAGGGCGCTGCGCTCTCTCCGGTGGGGTGGGGTTAGGGAGGAGTGGCAGTCCTTACCTTGCAGGAGGTGTGTATAAGTACCAGCCCAGCTCCTTCTTCCGGTGGTTGAAGGGGGGGGTTACGGCGCCTTCTGTTCCCTTCCTGTTCGGTGGAGCGGTGGCCAGCCAGGGAGTTCCTGCTGTGTCCGTGGGCTTGGAAGGGAGCGGGTCTCCCGGAGTGCGGGCCATGGGAAGCCATCACGCGGCTTCTGGCTGTGTCTGGCAGGCCCGGCCTGCAGGGGACACCGAGCTGTTGGGCGGGACTTTTGGCTTAGGGCGTGGCGGCATTGGTTCCAGCCGCTGGAATGCAGATCGGCGGGTGGTTCTGCGTCGCCAGCAGTCTGGAGGTCTGTAGGAACTTCAAAAGGACCACAGGTCTCAGCAAAGCTGCGGACTCTGCAAGATGGAGGGTGCAGAAGCAGGTGCATCGTGCACCAACCAAGCCCAGATAAGGGGGGTAAAGTGGTGCCTTCTATCCTTATGGGTGGTCTTTTTGGTTTCTCTTTGTTTATGTTTTGAATGCCTTCCGTTTTTAGGGTAGCCTGCTGCTTTGGCACAGCGGTGACTCCGCTCTGCTCCATGGCTCAGGAGGATGACTTGGGGGTATTGTGGGCTGAGTTTTCCTCCTTTTTTCTTTCTCTTGTTCTTGCTTTCTTGTCCTCCCTCTCTCCCTGTTATTTTCCTATATTTCAGGCCAGGGCCATGCCAATTAAGAGAGTTTATCTGGTAGGAATTCCCTGAGAGATTTGTGTCCAAAACAGCTTTGTAGAGCCTGTGTGGTGGATTTAGTAAAAGACGAATCTTTGCAATGCAAGGACATGTTTGCTTCTGTCAAAAAGGAATTGTCAGACTCTGGGGTCGGTTTGATCTTTGTTAGATAAACTGGCGACACTTCAGCTGGGCTTGCAACAGAGCACTTTGTCCAGTTGTCTGCCATCCGCTTCAGGCCAGGTGGGAATTGGCGACTCAGAAGAAGAGAGAGAGCGTCCTTCTATCCCTCAGAAATGAGGAGGGTGAGGAGCAGGTTGCAAGTTCGTCCAGAAAAAAAACTATCCTTGGAGGTGGATGACTTGCTGAAAGCAATGTATACGATGCTGGAAATTCAGGAGGAGAAAGTCTAGCTGTCAGTTCATGACAAAATGTACCAAGGCCTAGGACAAGCTAAACAGTCTTCCCGGGCCATCGATAAAGAAGGAATGGAAAGGAGCCCGTTCCTTTCCAAATCCCTAAGAAGAAGTTTCCCCTTCGAGGGAGACTAGTCACTTGTATAGAACAATAAACCGAGGTTGGATGCGGCCTTTTCGCAAGTTTCGCGGCACACTGACTCAGGTTTTGAGGATATGTGCATCTAGAAGGATGCAATGGATAAGAGGGCAAACTCTCTCCTTAAAAAACCATGGGACTCTTCCCTGAGCAACCTCAAGCCAGCTATGGCCTCCACAGTGGTGGCGAGAAATTTGGATTATTGGATTGGATGCTTGTTAGATAAGCTGAGGGATCATGTTGATGCAGGGACCTTCAGGAGAGAGCTATTGGAGTCGTTCCCGGTCCTTCTAAAGGTCATAAAGCATATGGCTGACGCATCAGTAGTCTATTAGAATGACTGACTGTGTCACAATCGGGTGTTGCGATAGGGAGATCAGGAATAAAAACTGGATGATACCCCGTATTGAGGAAAAAAGAGCTTTGGGAGGTGAAGATATGTTTAGCATTGTTATAGGCAAACTCTGCTGTAGGAAGATAGTCCACCCAGTCATCCTGAAGATAACTGACAAAACACCGAAGGTACTGCTTCAAAGTTTGATTGGTCCTCTCGGTCTGACCATTAGACTGAGGATGAAAAGTGGAGGACAGGTTAATTGTTCCACCTAAAGCTGAACAAAACCTTTTCCAAAATTGTTAAGTAAACTGTACTCCTCTGTCGGATACCACATCATCAGGAATTCCATATAGTTTAAAAAAACATCTCGAACCATCAACTCCACAGTTTGTTCAGCAGAAGGTACCCCCTTAACGGGTATAAAATGAGCCATCTTAGTAAGACTGTCGACGACTACCAAGATAGTGGTTATTTCTTTTGAAGGAGGTAAATCGACTACCAAGTCCCTAGAAATTGACCCCCAAGGTCTTGATGGAACAGAAAGTGGCACGTCAGATAGGAGGCCACATAGCATTTGACATCTTTCTTATAACCAGGCCACCAGAAGGAACGTGACAAAAGTTTATCTGTCTTAGAAATCCCAAAATGTCCCACAAGTTTGGAGTCATGAACTAATTTGAGAGCTTCCACCCGAGCAGAATTAGGTACATGGAGACGATGTGCTGGAGTCAAAAAGCAATTCTTGTATTCAAGGTTAATGTCCTTAGGAGGATAATTGAGAAGTGGGTCATTCTCATACCCCTCTTTGAGAAGACTCAAGAATGTATTCGTACTTGTGGCCCCTAGGAAGTGCTTTTGAGTTAGGATTGAACATTTCAGAGTTGCCTTCCTGGGGAGGCTCAGATAACATCCTTGATAAGGCGTCTGCCTTACCATTCCTTGATCCAGGTCGATACAAAAATAATAAAATTGAATCTGGAAAAGAATAAAGACCAACATGCTTGTCTAAAAGACAATCTCTTGGCCAAGCGAATGAATTCCAGATTTTTATGATCAGTGAGAACAGTTACAGGATGATTAGCCCCTTCCAGCAGATGCCTCCATTCAGAAAAGGCTTCCTTAATTCTAGTAACTCTTTATTCCCAATGTCATAATTTCTTTCAGCTGAGGACATCAAGCAGAAGAAGAGAAGTAAGTACAAGGATGAAGCTGCATTTTTTTTTTTTTTTTTCCCCCATCACTTCACTGAGACAGGATAGCTCCCACGACAGAGTCAGAAGCATCCACTTCCACTATAAGGGTAGTTCTGGATCGGGATTTGATGCAGAAGTGAAAAGAGTTTTTAGCTTTCCAAAAGCAGCCTGTGCCTCGGGTCCGCAGGAAGGGTACCCCTTTCTTTGTCAGCTGTGTAATTGGAGCTAGTACCTTTTAGAAACGTATCTTATAAATTTTCTGGAGAAGTTGGCAAACCCGACGAAACGTTGAATTTCATTAACATTTCCATGGGCTGACTACTGCTTTTGATCTTCTCAGGATCCATGCTCACTCCCAATGGAGGAATGATATAGCCTAAGAATTGGATCTGGGTTTGTTCAAACTCGCATTTCTCCAATTTAATGTAAAGTTTATTCTTCCTTAATCTTTCAAAGACAGCGCAAACATGTTTGCGGTGCTCCTCCCAATTATCGGAAAATATAAGAATATCATCCAGATAAGCAATCACAAATTGGTCCAACAGAGCACGAAAAGCATCATTGATGAAATGTTGAAAAGTTGCAGAGGTGTTGCAAATTCCAAGGATTCGAAATGCCCATACCTGGTTCTAAAGGCGGTTTTCTATTCGTCTCCTTGACGAATGCGGACACAAGGTTAAATGCCCCTCGTAAATCAAGTTTTGTAAAGATTTTGTCAGAACTAAGTCTTTCCAACATTTCAGAGATCAAGGGTAGTGGATAGCAGTTTTTTTTAATAGTGATTTTATGCAGATCTCTGTAGTCAATGCATGGACGCAAGGTGGAGTCTTTCTTTTCAATGACGAACAGGGCTGCTCCTGCAGGAGACTTTGAGTGTCTAATAAAGCCCTTCTCTAAATTCTCTTCGAGCCACTCCCTGAGCACCTTTAATTCAGGTTCCGACAGATTGAAAAGGCAGCCAAATGGTATTTCTGCCCCTGGGAAGCAGCTCAGTGGGACAATCATATGGGTGATGAGGTAATTGATCGGCATTTTTCTTGTCAGACATCCCAGAACTCATGGTATTGTGGAGGCAAGTTGTCATATAACTGGAGAGCTACCATATCAATTTGCGATTCCTTGGTCGGTGAAGGACTTGGTCTACAAAGTTCCTACAGTATTTTTTACAGTGGGGGATGTAAAATCTATAGTCCATGCTCCCCAGTTGATGGAGGGATTGTGAATGGAGAACCAAGGAATGCCCAGGATGATGGGAAACTTGGGTGACGTAATCAGCTGAAAGCTGATGGTCTCACAATGGTCAGCCTAAAACTGCAGTACCCATGGTAACAGGTCCTGAAGATAAGGGTGAACATCAACTGTCTCCATATCAATAGGGGTAAATGTATTTCTTGCTTGAATATTATTGCTGTGGGCAAGTTCTATATCCATAAAGTTCCCCCCCAGCCCCAGAGTCCAGCATAGCTGAGCAGGAGATTTCACAGCCCTCGGAGACCAGTTTAATGGGGATGACAAAATGAGAGAGTAGAGGGTTCACTTTTATTTTTGTCAGGAATCAGTGGGGAGATAGACTGGCTAATTTAGAGTTTATTTCTTCAGGCACAATCACATCAGCCATAGCAATTGTTTTTCTAACTTTGTTAAGACAATTACCTGCATAATGGCCAGAGTCCGCACAATATAGACATAAGTTCTCTGAACGTCTTCCCTCCCTCTCTCCTGAATGGAAATGGATCTCTTGATAGCATCAACTTACATAGGCTCAAGAGTGTTCGAACCCAGAGAGACTTTTGAATCCTGCTGAACAAATGGACT